TCCCTTGACACAGATGACATGTTTCACTGAAAAAGAATTAGGCTAAAATGTGCCCTCATATTTACATTACTTTATAGAGAAAAAAATATATATAACATAACTTACATCTGGTATTAAAGGATCACTATAGGGTCAGAAACACAAACATGTATTCCTAACCCTATAGTGTTAAAACCACCATCTAGCCCCCCTGGGCCCCTCATGCCTCCATAAATATAGCAAAATCTTACTGTATTCAAGCCAGAAGCTGTAGATCTGCATGTTGTTTGCCAAACAAAAAATAAGCAGTCTGCTGACATCATCAGAAGTGGTGGCCTGATCCAATCACATAGGATTGGCTGAGACTGACAAGGAGGCAGATCAGGGGCAGAGCCAGCATGATTCAAACAGAGCCCTGGCCAATCAGCATCTCCTCATAGAGATGAATTGAATCAATGAATCTCTATGAGGAAAGTTCAGTGTCTGCATGCAGAGGGAGGAGATACTGAATGTTTGGATGCATTTTAGGCAGCCATGACCCAGGAAGGATCTCTAACAGCCATCTGAGGAGTGGCCAGTGGAGTTATCAGTAGGCTGTAATGTAAACACTGCATTTTCTCTGAAAAGACAGTGTTTACGGCAAAAAGCCTGAAGGTAATGATTATACTCACCAGAACAAATTCAATAAGCTGTAGTTGTTCTGGTGACTATAGTGTCCCTTTAAAGGACCACTATAGTGCCAGGAAAACATACTCGCTTTCCTGGCACTATAGTGCCCTGAGGGTGCCCCCACCCTCAGGGACCCCCTCCCGCCCGGCTCTGGAAGGGGGAAAGGGGTAATAACTTACCTTTTTCCAGCGCTGCGGAGAGCTCTCTGCCTCCTCTCTCCTCCTCCCGCCGGCTGAATGCGCGACGCGCAAGAGCTAAGCGCGCATTCAGCCGTCGGAAAGCATTTACAATGCTTTCCTATGGACGCTGGCGTGCTCTCACTGTGAAAATCACAGTGAGAAGCACGCAAGCGCCTCTAGTGGCTGTCAATGAGACAGCCACTAGAGGATTAGGGGGAAGGCTTAACCCATTATAAACATAGCAGTTTCTCTGAAACTGCTATGTTTATGAAAAAATGGGTTAACCCTAGCTGGACCTGGCACCCAGACCACTTCATTAAGCTGAAGTGGTCTGGGTGCCTAGAGTGGTCCTTTAATCTTTGTGCAATGCCATAATTTACTGTTCAATGCTAAATAATCTTTACATACTGAAGGGATGTAAATGCCACTAGAACCAAATCTCCTTAAACTTTGTGTAATGCTGTGCTTTGTACTCATGTATTCTATTAGGTTCTGGCTTAGAATCATTTCTCACAGTACTTTGGCAATCCGAAACCTGGCTTCAATGCTTAAATCACAGTACTATTATTACACAGCTCTGAAAGTTGTAAATGTCTGTTCTGGGAAAGCCTCATATTTTGAAAGCCAGTTTTTCATCCTCAACTTGGAATATATTTAACACAGTGACGGCTTTTATGAGTATGTGTGATGACTATAAATCACACAACGTTTAACACTTTTAACATGTGAGATAATGAAGAATAATGGTAAAAAGATAAAGGAACACTGAGATTTAAAAAAAAAAAAAAGTTTTATTAGATAAACTGTTTAACTGGCAAAATAGAAGTAAGCTGTAAGGTCATAAAACTATTGTAGCCTTCCTATTTGAAACCGTTTTTTGTATTTCATATAGAAATCTTCAAGGGGCAACAAGCTGCACTCTCAGCAAGTTTTCATTTAGAGTTTGATTCATGTACAGCTCTTTAACCAATCACAAAATAATGTTTTATATTTTCTTCTTATTCTGGTGTTACTTGTGTCTATGCACAATAACATCAGGCAAAATATACATGCTTAATTAAAGTGGCTCTGTCGCCTCAAACTTACCTTTCGCCTACTGTTTCATCTTCTCTTCCTCTTTCAGAATCTCTTCTTCTTTTCTGATCTATTTGTCTTTAAAGCATAATACAAAGTAAGGACTACTTTGTCTTGTGTATTTTTCTACGCTTGACAATTGAGATAAAAGGGTGGAGTTTAAGACATGCTCCAATCCCTATTTCAAGCTAACAAAGGGTGAAGCTTGCCTTTTGCTTCATCCTTTGTCAAGATTGCCAAGTGTAGAAAAAAATACATATGACAAAGGAGTCCCTTTAAAGAGAAATACATCAGAAATTAAGAAAAGAAATTGGTGACATTATTGCTCATCTGTGGTAATGTCACTGACAGTGGGCCTCTGGATCTTGGGAGATCCATTTAACCATCCACACTGTGAGATAATGAAGAATAATAGTACAAAGTCAAGATAAAGGAACACTGAGATTTAAAAAAAAAAATAAGTTTTATTAGATAAACTGTTTAACTGGCAAAAAAGAAGTAAGTTGTAAGGTCATAAAACTATTGTAGCCTTCCTATTTGAAACCATTTTTTTAATTTCATATACAAATCTTCAAGGGTCACCTTTTGCCAGCTGGAGATAAACTTAGAACTGATCAGACAGAAAAAAAAGTGTTTTACATTTACATAAAAAACACATGACCAAGTTTCCAGGGTAAGGCATACCCATAGACTAATTAAATCCTCACTAGTGATGTCCCGAATGGTTCGCCGAACGGTTCGCTGCGGATGGCGAACATATGCGGTAAACTTTGACCCTGTACCTCACAGTCAGCAGACACATTCCAGCCAATCAGCAGCAGACCCTCCCACCTCCTGGACAGCATCCATTTTACATTCATTGTGAAGCTGCATTCTTAGTGAGCTGTCCAGGAGGTGGGAGCGTCTCGGAGGGAGGGTCTGCTGCTGATTGGCTGGAATGTGTCTGCTGACTGTGAGGTACAGGGTCAAAGTTTACCGCATATGTCCGCCGTCCGCGGCAAACCGTTCGGCGAACCGTTCGGGACATCACTAATCCTCACATGTGAATAGGCAACAGGCCTAACAGAAAATAACCTATAAGGGACAACTTCTAGCATTTGCTTTCCTAAATGGTGAACATCATCCACATGAAAAAGACACAAACTTTGGCAAGCATTAGCAACATGAGATTGATACTTGCATATGACTCCTGTCTGGTCTGTCTTTTCCTCCATATATAAACTTTTGGGATCAAAGTTAGAATATTTAATTGTCATTATTGTATATTTCATATAAAAAATATACAGCTTAGAACCTATGATGTTCATCTTCTAATATTCATAACGTAATTCCTAAAACAGAATTACAATATTCCAGAATGAGATGTAAAAGGTTATGGAATATTCTATTCAGCTGTACCAGCATAGCTTAGCAAAAGAATGATTACATTTACATAAGAATAAATAAATAAAATAAAAATTTTTTTGGAGGTGCGGGGGATTCTCGAGAAAAAAAAAAGAAAGTAATGCAATCCATATGGCCAGATTTGAGAAATAGTATTAGTATCTGCCATTCACTCCCAGACTGTCCAGTCAGTCTTTGGATTCCCAGCTGTCCATCTCACTTCAAAATTTAACACAAATAAAGACTTTTTGAAATTTTAAATGGTTTACTAGAAAAGTATGATAAAGGTTTAGATTCTTGTCAGACACAGAATCTACAAAATGAAGCTAAAGCCATATGTTAATGTCAGTTATCTGCAAGATCACATATCTTCTATTTTCTGTCAAAGATATAAAATGTAACTATCTTAACACCAAGGAAACCAAATGTTTTGGTTTAGTGCAATCTTGATAAAAGAGAACCGTTGCTTACATCAACCTCTGAAATGCTTGCATAATGACGTAATACATTAAAATCATAAATGACAAGTAAAATGAATGCTTGGACACAGAAATGAAAAGTATTGAAAGGCACATATGGCACTGAAGAGCAGCAAAGTTTTAAACTGAAGACCGTATATTAGGAAGAAATGCTCTAGGTTACAGCTATTTCTAAATTATGAATTCTAGAATATGGTTGACCATGTCTCTGTACGGAAATGCCAAGCAACTATTTTACTGGCAATTTATAGAAATTTTCAAAATAATTTTCAAAATTTTCATTTAGAAAAAAAAAGTTAAATCAGGTAATGCAGAATTTTTTTTAAAATAACCACATAACCAGTGTGGAACCAGACAAAACAAATTGTATCACTTTCAGCAAACTAGAATTATTTTTTAATAGAGAGAAACAAAGGCAGACCCCAGAGCGTTCTCCCCAACACCCAAACCACCCCTTAACCAAGTTTTACAACTATAACACCAGCCACACAATGCCTACTAATTTTATTCTCTTATTGGTCATGATACAAATGCCTCCAAGTGTTGCTTATAGGAAACAGAGCAGACTTCCGTTTAGCAGTTTCCATATATCCTCTGGGATGGCGAGGAACTATGCATCTAATAGGGCACGTAGAAAGAATCAAAATGATTTTGTGCTGAATATACTCTTTTCTGCCTCTATATATACTAGTTAATGGGAAGGCAATCTTCCATCACCAATTATTTTAATTAATTAAGGGTTTCTAGGCATTGCCCTGGAGAGGGGCCTGGGATTAAAAACAAAAACCACAAAGAAAAGCCTTTCACCTGCTGAGACAGGTCTTACCAACTTCCTTGCTATATCCTTCTGCCCCACATTCCTCCATGGCAGGACCGTGCAGTGATATACCAGTGAAGTGTCGGGAGCCTAGTCACCAGGGCCACAAAGATGAATCACCCTGGGGCATTTATTGTTGTAACTTTGCGTTTTATAAAGTCAGATCTTACTGTCATGGAAAGTTGTTATAGTATTTATATGACCTTTTAATGTTGGGTCAAATAGACACTGAAATATCTTTCAACTGCATGATCATTAATGACACATTAAGATAATGTAGACCTCTGACAAAAGAATGATCTACATTTTGATAAGGTCTTCATGGAATGCAATTAAGTTGGGTTTACAAAATCACATTGCCTCTTGCTAATGTTGCTGAACAGTAACTCCAGGTTAGACTTTATGTTTTCTTTAATAAAAATAGATTCCATAAAAAAATCAAAGCAAAAACCAGATACTTTCATCTCAACCTGCCCGGTTTTCTGCACACCTGGAACTTCTGCAGGGCCCAAGAAGTGACCAATGCCTCCTCTTTCCCAAGAGTTCTGTAGATTTCTAATGAGATTGGTAGTAGTTATTGCTAGTCACTTTCATGAAAAAAAAAATGACTATGTAGCAAACTTTCAGCTATAAACAGTTGCTGCTGTACATATCCCACATTCAAATTAATGAGATACCTTACCAGGTTTGTACAGCCAGACATAGCTCCACCCATAGGCGTGCGCAGCCTATTGCATTAGGGTGTGCACCCAAAAGCACAAACACACGCCACGCGCGTGTGTGTGTATGTATCTATATATATATACACACACACACACTGCTGTGTGTGCTGTTAGTGTGATGTGTGTGTGAGGGTGCTGTTAGTGTGATGTGAGGGTGTTTGTGTGTGTGTGTGTGTTTGTGACTGTGCTGTTTGTGTGTGAGGGTGTTTGTGTGTGTATGTTTGTCCTGTGAGGGTGCTGTTTGTGTGAGTGTCGTGTATTTGTGAGGGTACTGTTTGTGTGTGTGTGTGTTTGTGAGGGTACTGTTAGTGTGCTGTGTGTGAGGGTGTTGTGTTTTTTTTAAAGGTGCTGTGTGTGTTTGTGAGGGTGCGGTTAGTGTACTGTGTGTGTGTGAGCTGTATGTGTGTAGGTGCTGTATGTGTGTGTGCTGTATGTTTGGCGGGATTTGGCAGATTAGTAAATCCTTGCTGCCATGTGCTATCCCTGGTGGTCCAGTGGAGAGTGAACTCTAGCCTGCGGGGCTAGAGTTAACTCTCGCGAGATCTGAGCGTTGCCGCAGCAACGCCCAGATATCGCGAGAGGAACCTGGCGGAGCTTCTGTCTAGAGCTCCCTGGGTCCTTTCCTGCCTCCCTCCATGCTGCTGTGGGCCGGTGAGGTAGATCTTTGGTCTCCCCGCCAGCCCAGGGAGGCTTAGAGCAGAGCCAGCACTCAGATAGCGCCGGCTCTGCGTGTGTGTGTGTATATATATATATATATATATATATATGCGTACACACACACACTCACAGACACATTCAGACACACACACACACACACACATACATACACTCACACACTCACACAGACACACACACACACTCACACACACATACACTCACAGACACACACACTAACACACACACACTCACACACACACAGACACACACACACACACAGACACACACACTCACACACACAGACACACACACACAATCACACACAGACACACACACACACTCACACTCACACACAGACACACAGACACACTCACACTCACACAAACACACTCACATACACTCACACTCACACACACTCACACAAATTATATTTTAATTAAAAAAAAAATGTCCACCCAGCCTCCTACCTGGAGTGCTGGTGTGGACTTTTCCCTGGGGTCTTGTGGGGCGGGCGCCTCTCTGCAGCTCAGCCGCGGCGAGGGAGCTGTGTGCTGTCTGCTTTCTGCTCCCTCTCACCGCGCGGGCTGTCTGCTGTAGCTGGGAGCCAGAATATGACATCATATTCCGGCTCCCGGCATCAGCGCGCGGCGAGAGGAAGCAGAGAGCAGACAGCTCCCTCGCCGCAGCTGAGCTGCAGAGAGGGGGGGGATCCATCACCTCTTGCCCCCCCATGACAGGGGCAAGAGGTGAAACAGGGGAAGCTGAGTGCCTGCAAGAACAGCGTTCCTGCTCAAAAAAAAGTGCAGGAACACTGTTCCTGCAGGACTCAAACCATAGGCGTGCGCACGCCTATGGCTCCACCTGTGGCATTGTGCTCCCTTAAGTCATAATGAACAATATTATAGGAAAGTCCTAGGCACGAAGAAAACACTAGCTTACTGTAGCAGTGTTGGTGTATAGATCATGCCCTTTAAATCTCCCAGCTCAATTCTCTGACATTTAGGATTTAAAGTGTGGTGCTAATGAAGCCCTAGTCACACCTCCCACACAATGTCCATGAAAAAAAAATGGTTCCATTTTAAAACAGATTTAACATTGTGTTTACTTTAGACGTTTTTATCACATGTTCTGTTAATTGAACTTGAATCACACACAGGAGACATGCTTTAGAAGGCTATTAACAGTCTCATTGTCATTTTTGCACAGAACATTAGAGGGCATGACCAGGCAGCCGCTTAGATCGGAGCTCCAGCCAACCACAGGCTTCTCATCACTGTACTGCCATCACAGAGCTAGGTATAGGGAATCACACCCATGCAGCAACTGTAGCTAGGCCTACTGTGTTCAGATTTCCACCCTGAGGTCATCCATATCAGGTCACAAGGCAGATTCCTCATCAAAAATATGGACTGGGTGGTACTCATTAAGGCACTAACAGAAAAGACCTGAAAGATGCAACTGCATCCCTACAGGCCTTGATCCACGTGGAGCTGCAACTGGTGAGTAAAGAATTACAGAGTCTCACAGGGACAGTGGCTCAGATTGAAGCAAACCATGACAACTTGGTGGCTGTGCAGGCCATGAGCATTGACACCCTGGTGTGCCAAACCTCACAGCTTCAGCAGATGGCTTGCATATTAAAGATCTAGATAATAGGGGCCTTGCAGATATTAGGGGGAAGACTCACCACATTCTTTAATGTCATCCAACAGCAAGATAAGGAGACACCTGCTAAGTTTGTGAAGGCCCATAGGGCGCTATGGACAAGAGGCCTACCTGACCGTTATCCGCAACTAATGATATGCTGTTTAGCACAATTCAGCCTCAAGAAAGACATCCTGCAAATCACAATGGAGGCGCACAAAATGATAGAAAAGCAACATGAACTATATATTTTTTCAGGTGTCTCTGGCTATCTTAAACAAAGAGCACTCAAGCCAACCACCCAGGTCCTGGCATCACAACACATCCAGTATCAGTCAAATATGCCAAAGAGGATACTGGTCATCACAATTGGGGCCCACAACCAGTGCTTAACCAAATAAATTTTCATCGCTTTAAGGGACCTACTCCAACTACTCCCATCAACATGAGGTGGTCAGATCTCTTGGATTTCTATCGGCTGACTCCAACACAAGAGGGAGTTCATGCCTTACTTTAGAGGCAACGGAGTCACCAGCAGGAATCCATTTGTCCAATGGGTTCTATGTCCTGAGCATCACAGGCTATCTTGGGTAAGCCTAAACTTATACCACACACTTGCACCTTCCAATGACTGTTCTGTGCCAGTTCCCTGGCATCCTGTAATGTAGGTTTGGGAGAATGGACCAAGGTGGGAGTGTGGCGGGGTGCAGCACTTTCCATCATCTTCTGGCCTACACAGTTTCACCCCACTAAGGTTTTATGCTACATCCACGCAGAGATGCGCTGTCTGCCCACAGATGGTTCATGAATGGACCATCCTGGCAGTCAATTACTCCCTCAGCATATGAAAGTATGATATATATATATATATATATATATATATATATGTGTATGACGAAATGCCTTTTGTCACCGGATGGTTAGGTGACAAGCTGTCCTTTGCCCCCAGCTGTTGGAGGAGCCTGCTTCCTTCCTCATGACTATGGCTCTGGGGTGTATTGCCATTTAAAAATACTATTTGGGGCCTATTGGCTTCTAAAGACTGTTTCTGCCCATTTGAATCCATGGGAAGGTGTGTCTCTTCCCCTCCCCGCTTCCTGTCTATTGTTCTCCAGCAGGGCGTTGTCCCAGGCACACTGCCAAACCAGTTGGAATTGACTGCTTTTATCCCTCCTTGGTCTCTGAACAGCCCTTGCTATGCTTTACCCCATGGCAAATTTATTCTGTTCATGGGATCAGAGCGCTGTTCACCTACATTGGGTGCTCCGATCCGAGCTATCTGGGGATAGGTTAAATGTGGGGGTTCTGTGTAGTATAATAAGAATTATGTATTTTTATGTACTTTTACGTATTTTTGCTGTTAGTGTAAAATATAGATATTTTCTGTACCTGGAGATAATTGAGTTTACTGCAGTGCCTTAAGCCAATTATCTCCAGGATGGAGAGGAGGGATTTCATTGTGTATATTGGAGTGTTGTTATGTTAATTAGTGTTCCCATTGGTTTGTGTCCCTTTTGTCACAGTTTACCACCAGGTCCAGGACGTGTGCCTCTGGCCTGAAAACTTGTATATAAGGAGTAATAAACGCTCATTGGAGTCAGATCATCTTGTACCTTCATGAAGTTTTGGCTCATGTTTGGGAGATTGCAATAATCACTATACTCCCCAGGGTATAATCACTAAGCTCTGCTAAGAGCTCGTTCCTGCTCTCTGGAATTCAGAGAAGTCGACCTACTGGAAGCTGGACCCTGGTCTTGGGCCCAGAGTGGGTGGACACGGCAAGACCCCAACCAAGCTTCGGCCGTTCGTGGGGTCTGCAGTGGCTATGGTGTCAGGTGGAGTGCTTGGAGACCTCGGAAAGCACTAGGAGCATCCGTCAGCGGAAGGTACCCAGTTGGTGTGCCAGCGGTTCCGTTACAATATATATATATATATATACATATTTATATACAGTATAGTGCTTACATAAACACTTTAATTAAGCTTGACGTCATTATCTGAACTCATGTCAAGCTTGCAGGTACCAATTTACTTGATTGAGACTTTGAATTTTTAAAGAAACACTATAGAGTATTCCTGACTTTATAGAGTTAAAAACACTATCTAGCCCCCTCCTTGCCCTGCTAAATATAGTAAAATCTTACCTTTATTCCAATCTGATGGTGCTGGCTGACATTATCAGAAAAACTGCAATAATTATCTTGCAGGGTTAACTCCACCTCTAGTGGCTGTCTACTAGACAGCCACTAGAGGGCACTTCCTGGATCATAGCACAGGAAACCTGTGCTAGAGCGTCGCTGGATGTCCTCACGCTGTGTGAGGACCTCCAGTGTCGCTCATTTCCCCATAGGAATGCATTGAAAAGCATTTTCAATGCTTTCTTATGGGGAGCTTTAATGCGCATGCGGGGCATTGCATTAGGTCTCCCTGGCCAGTGGGCGGGATCAGTCTCGCCCACCGGCTGACGCAATCACAGGGAGGAGCGGCGACGGAGGAAGAAGCAGCCCCCTTCAGCAACCGGGGATTGGGAGGGAGAGGGAACCTGCAGTGCCAGGGAGTTTCCCTTTAATGGGATACTATAGGCATCAAAACAACTTTAGCTTAACCTCTTAAGGACACAACTTCTGGAATAAAAGGGAATTATGACGGAATATTTCCGTCATGTGTCTTTAAGGGGTTAATGAAGCAATTTGGGATTTGTACAGATCAAGTTAAACCACTTTTGTGTCTGTCCATTCAGCCGTAGGCACACCTTGCCTAGCTGTGATTCATACAGCCTACTTGAAAATGTTTTTTTTTATAAATGTGATCTTAATTTACTATAGAAGTTTTTAGATCATGCTCTGTAAATTGAGCAATAATCATACACAGGGGGCCCTGCAGGGTCTAGTAAGCTATTAACAGCGCAGCAAATTTTAAAAAAATGGAAATTAAACAAACTAAGCAAAAAGGTAAGTTTAAACATTAGCTCTCTTTACAGGAAGTTGTTTGGAAAGCTGTGTATGTCACATGCAGGGAGGTGTGATGAGAGCTGTATAAACAGTGATTGAGAATGGAGCACTGAGACTACAGGGGCAGGCTCTATATATCAAAACTATTTCATTAAGCTAAAGTTGTTTTGGAGTCTATAATATCTCTTTAATTTCATTTAATGGGTAAATGCTTATTAGAAATTTTGTAAACTATACAAAATATACAACACTAAAACACGCAAAAAGAGAAAAACGCATACTCTATGGAAGAAATAGATGGGTGTAAAAGCATTCAAGCATAAAGAGAAAAAGTGCAGGGAGAAGAGAGGTGCCAAGGTAAAAGAGAGCAAAGAAGAAGACAACAATTTTATGTCAAAGTCCACAGCCAGCCCGAAGGGGTGTTAACTTTATTTTCAATTTTACTAAGATTGTAAATTAGAATCAATCAACTCTTCCAACTGAGACATTAATTACCCGGCTTCTTCTGATCCATTTTAACTACTTTGCATTTTTCTTGTTTTATTGGACCAGCATTTTTCTTTTTATCAAAGTACTTTGATCACTTCCCAAAGTAATTTGGGATTTCCCATGCGCTCATTTTTTTAATTAGCCAAGGTAATTGCAGTTTTGCAAGACCTGTTGTCATCTTTCTACTTTATAAATCATCCTGCTGTCACATATGCCTTCTATTTTAAATACAATTTTTCTTGACTGAACTGTTAAACTACATCTTTTATATTTATTTCCTAAGGCTAAACATTGAACAGCATCGCTTTGTAATGTTTGCATGAATTAATTTAGCTTATCTGCAGTTATTTTCCCTTGGGACTGTTACATCTAGTCAATGAGACTATTTGCTCCTGTAACCAAATTTAAGGTTTTGCTTTTTGGTAGAGTCCATACTAATTTGTATTTTGTACTTATTTCAAGGAATGGTTCACTTAGCATATTGTCTTGAAGGTATGACAAATGCTTTATTAGTTATCGAGAGAACAAGTAATCAGATGTAATTTAAAGCTCTACTATTTGAGACACAAATAAACTTTGTTTTCCTTATTTGAAAAAGAAAAAGTTAAAAGGGACACTAAACCTGAGGAAGGGGACATTTGGCACTCCAGCTGTTGTGGATTACATCTCCTATAATGCTCTTACAGCCATAATGATAGAAAAGAGAGAGAAATACCCCTGCTTGTACCCCTGCTCTGAGTGCTAAATAACGGATTTCATTATACTTTTTTTTTTTATATTGATCATTACCTTGCCATCTCACTGCTCAAATGTTTGCAGTTTATGACTTAAAGCAATTGTCACCTGTCAGAGACTTTGCATATTTAGCACAAAAAAAACCAGCCAATTGTTACATTGTCTCTCAAGGTGCGGAGGGCCAAGGGTGCAGTTTCAGGGAGTTATAATTACTAGTTGTCCATTGAGGCACCACCTGTAACAAATGCTCCTTCCCATGTATTCCTGGAGGAGTTTGGAAGCTGGCCTCCTGCACACCGACTATGGTCCAGATCTAAGACACCATTTGCGAGTTACCCTGCCCAGCCGCCATTATCAGCTTTCCATGGGTGCCCATGGTTCGACACTTTCCCTTCTTTCAAATGGAACCGAACACTAGCTCCCTGGCGGCCTTTTGCATGAACCAAACCCATCAATAGTCCACAGCGGTACTTAGCCACAACCGCTATGGAACTAATTTCTGGGATCTGTACATTAAAATCAGTTGTACTCCCAGAACTATGTGTCCTCTAGTTACTGGGAGGGGAAATGGCTTATCACTGTTCAGCACCTTGTTCCAGCTCGTGGAGGATTCAGCGGGGAAAGTCCTTGCAAAGACTAGAGCTCTCAGGACTGTGTGTCGTTCAGTCCCTGGGAGCGAATACAGCTAGTCCCCAATCCTGTTCCAGGATGAAGACACTCCAGGAGTACACCACTCAAGCCACAGAGGCACTCCCTGGTTCCAACTAGGAAGCGATCTTTGGCGGAGGTACAGAGCCAGGATACAGGGAGCTGCGCTACACTACACATCTTCAACTCCTGCACTAGAAGCCCACATCAATGATGCAATCTCACATGCACAAGAGTGCAAAACTAATGTCTATGAAGAATACAGAGACAATGGTGGAGCCGTTATAGATATTTTATGAGTGGTAGTGAAAACTTGACTGCAGTATAAAGTTCTCTCTAGTTATGATTTTACCATAATATAAAGTAATCCTTACTTTGTTTTTGATACTTTTTGACTGTGTTGAGTGAAATTTTAATCCAGTCATTAAAAGCATTTAATGAAGATGGTAAGCTCAAACGTAAGTTGAATTGGGATAAATTTTAGAGCCAATTTAACCTATAATATTTTTGTAGAAAGTTTTAAATTAATCTGTAATGACTCACCTCCAATCCACCTGGACTCTTTAAATTACCCTGCTTGGGACATATCCCCCAAAGGCAAATCTCAGTGACATCAGCATGCTGACTTATTTGCCAGTCTGTACCTATACCCCCTAGCTAACGCCAGCAGCAGTGGCTAGGGAGTTTCCATAGCAACCATAGCACATTTAATTCAGTTAGGCAAGCTTCAGTACACCAAAAGTTGTGGATTACATCTCTCCTGATTCTTTGTCTGCATTATAACTCTAAGAGCTTATGATAGATGCAGTTTACATCTAGAGTGCAAAGTGTTGCTTACCCATGCTTTAGTGTGCATACATACAATAACTTATTTTTATGTGGTTTTTTTTTTCTGCTTTAAGATGTTCTCACTGCAACCACACTGCTTTTCCAGGAAGAGCATTTAATTGGACACTTAGAAACAGAGAATATGACGGCAGATAAGAACTATTCGGTCCATCTAGTCTGCCCAATTTTCCAAATACATTCATTAGTCCCTGGCCTTATCTTATAGTTGGGATAGCCTTATGCCTATCCCACACATGCGTAAACTACTCCTTTACTGTGTTAACCTCTACCACTTCAGATGGAAACCAATTCCATGCATCCACTACTCTCTCAGTGAAGTAATACTTCCAGATATTATTTTTAAAGCTTTGCCCCTCTAATTTAAGACTCTCTCCTCTTGTGGTAGTTTTTCTTCTTTTAAATATATAGTCTCCTCCGTTACTGGGTTGATTCCCTTTATGAATTTAAATGTTTCTATCATATGCCCCCTGTCTCGTCTTTTCTCCAAGCTATACATGTTGAGATCCTTTAACCATTCCTTGTATGTTTTATCCTGCAATCCATGAACCAGTTTAATAGCCGGACTGTACTGTGAACAAGGAAAGTAGTAATCTGCAGGGTCAATTAGCTAAATAGCAAAATGTAAAGATGTAGGATATAAGTGATTTGATAATTGATGCTAGAATTCAAATCAATCAAAAAGGCATTGTAATATACAACATTGCTAATGGTCCAACACAATGCTGTGCAGAGTGTGTCTAAACTCTACCCAGCCACTAAGAGCAAACATGCAGCTGTGTAGGGAAGTGTGCGCGCTATGGGGTACGAGAAGTTTTCATCCTGCAACTGCAAAGAAACGAAAGATAGAGAAAATAAAACAGACTGCATAACTAGCACGGCTGACCTTAATGACCACTATATAAGAATTACAAGATTAATACTCAAGCTTAAATCCCATACAGGTCTTCCCCACCATATGCCAAATTAAGCAAGTGTGCCCTGTGTACTAAAACCCAAAGTTTCCTTATGATAGGACTATGGTTTAAGCTGCCTACTCTCCATTCTATACTTTCATTAAGTTGCCAACATATTCAACAATGCAGAAATAAAGGCAGACAGAATTACTGTAAAAAGCAAAGGTTTTACAAAAGGTGCTGCTCAAGTGAGCTTACAGTCTAAGAAGGAAGGTATCTTCTGTTCTTGGTACCAGTTCTTCCCAGCACAGCTTCAACAGGACTGGACCCTCTTAATTCTCTGACCACATATTCAGCAACATGTTAAACACTCGTGAGAGCTCAAACTCTTCTACATACAAATAAAATGAATGGGAGATAGTAGATCATTTCTTGTGTGGGGTAGTTTCCTGTTTAACAGATGGCAGTGGATAGCAAAAAAAAAAAAAAAAAGCTGTTAACATTTGAGAAATGAAGTCTAAAAATCTGTACAATCTGGGTCTTATATTCAAGACAAATACTTTCCCTCGGTGAACTGGTAAGCTAAATATTAGCCACAAGGTATTCACATTCTCCAGTTAACTGTCAACAGTTGAAAGTACATTTGCTTCACAGTACACAAATTCTGTCCAGTTTACTCAAAATTGGGAAAAGTGCAGTATTTGACAACGGAGATTAAGCATGTGGGTAACATTGCCACTGTGCCCACACCACTTCAATGAGATGGGGTGGCCTGGGTGTCTACAGTGTCCCTTTAAAATGCAACAAATGACCCAGAAAAATATAAAATAAATACATTTATATACATACATAAAGTAACAACAAGTATCAGAAAAGTAAAGTAGTAGCAAGAGAGGAAGAGGTCACAGAATAGATTCACCTTAACAGATATTATTGTTACTTACCAAACAGAGTACCATTGCATTAGTTGTAAGGGCCGACATACTTTATTGAATACTCCATGGCACAGTCTTACCATATGGTCTACACGAAAAGCCAAGTAAAATCGCACTTATAAACTTTAACTCAGAGGCAAACGTTATCCAAATGGCATTAAGTAAAAGACACGCAATAGTGGTTTAAATTAAATTAAACAGAAAAAAAAATTAAAAAGGAAAAAAAAACACAAGACTTTTTTTCTGAAGTACAATTAAAGGGAATGGAGTTCACATTTCTTCCTCTCTCCTCTCCTCCTCTGCAAGTGAATTCCTTGGTAAGCTGTGACGTGTCCACCTGAGCAGCTCCGGATCGCCGTGTTAACCCGTTCACTCAGACAGGACGCTGCAGGCACCCAAAACAAAGTTCTGTAGTGCACTGACTGCCATCTTATTCAGAGTCTAAGTGTCACAGAACTTTGATTTAAATGCCCAAAACGAGAGAGAGATAGAGGGAGTGTTTTACCCATTTTTTTTTTTTTTTGACAGGTGTACAGGTGACATACGTGACAGGACATTCAAAAACATTTATTTCTAAAAGACATATGCCCACCCTGGAAGAAAAAAAAAAAAAGAAATGTAGATTTTATACAAAAGCCTCAGCAAAGCTTAGAACAGCCTTCTGCATAGAAATAAAAGTGTCCTGGTGTAATTGACAGTAAAAATAAATATATAACATGTGGTGCATGCTGCTGCACCAGCTGCATCCACCATCTGGAAATGCTGAATAAAAAAAAAAAAAAAAAAAAAAAGTCTCTACAGCCAGTTACAAAGCAGATCCCACACAGCTGGTTTAAAAACTACAACTCCCATGATGCCTTACCAAAGCCAGTGCTTGCAAACCAAGATGGGATTTGTAGTTCAACAGCTGTCAGGGTCTGCTATTTTGGGGGTTGTCTGCCCATAAGCATTCACACAGATGGCGAGGGCATCCCTTGCAAGCCCTATGATCCCAGTCTTCTTCACAGCGGGATCTCTGTAAATACGGGGAGAACATTAGACAGATCCATTGCCTGCCTTGCATTCCAAATCGGAACCGCACTGCTGCATTCCTCCTGCAAGACACAAGCAGAGAGACAGACACACAGAGAGAGACAGAGAGGAAAAAAAAAAAAAAAAGAGAAAGTTGGTGCATAGGGAGTGCCTGCCCTGAGCGGTGCCGGCTGGGATGGCTGGCTGGCAGCGCTGGATGGATGGATGGCTGGCGGCAGCGGTTTACCTGAGCAGCTGTTGCACCATGCAACAGGTCCGCTGTGTGCAATAGCAGCTCGCGGAATGGAACGTTCAACCCCTCCTGCCCCCTCCCCTCTCTCTCCGAGGCAGCGCGCGCCGCAACATGAAGAAAAAAAAAAAAAAAAATTGAAAACGGCACGAGCTCTTAACGGCTCCGGCGCGAGACAACTCGCCCGACCTCCTGAGGGGATATAAAAAGGGAGGAGGCTGACAGTCAGTGAATCCAGCGCCGCCGCGGAAGCACCTTATTTCGCTCTCCTGTCTATCTCTCCCTTCAGCAGTCCCTCTCTCTCCCCTTCCATCTTGACTTTTGCCGACGTGGAAATTTTGGGTTTGGGAACGAGCCGCGCTCTTATTGGCTGCCGGCAGCTGGGGTTGAAGGTCACGGCTGCTTGGGCTGTTCCGCGCCAAAGAGCGGCAGCTGTAAAGTCAGCAGGAATTCACCTCTCCTCCTCCTCCTAACCAGCCCCACCCCACCTCCCTGTCACCGAGCCCGGCCGGGTCAGCCGCCTGCTGGCAGGTTGGATCATTCAAATCCATGGAGGTGACGGAGAGCCAGGCCGGATCCAGGCGGGGGGAGAGGGACGGAGGGAGGGCTGCTCGGTGAGAGCCGCTCTGCCCGGCTATAGCATGGGAATCCGTCAGCCTGTGTCACGGCCGGGACACGCCCACTTAACCCGCGCGGTGCCGGAGGGAAGCAGAGCCAGCGCTCTGTGAGCCAGGTGTTCTATCAAATTCCCCTACCCTCGGGAATCAGCTGGATCCTGTGCTGCACATGCGTTCAAATTAGGGTTAGGATTAGGGATTTGTTCATATTTAGTGATATTTCACATTAGGGGAATATCACTAAATAGTACTTTTTCACACTATATTTTAACCCCAAGGGTTAAGGTAAGAATAGAGTGTGCGAGAGGTTAGAATCACTTACCTAACCCTAACGTGTACCCTCACTTAACACTAAATGTCCTGTGTGCCTAAGCTTAGTGAATGCACTAACTGTAATGAAAGTGTAAAACTAGTTTTACTTACCTTCCAGGACCTTGCTGTGGAGGAGTAGCAGGAGTGCTAGCACGCATGTGTTGCACAGGATCCAGCTGATTCCCCTCACCGGAAGTGACGAGGGTAGGGGATTCTCACGGATAGGGGAATTTGATAGAACACCTGCCTGTCACACACACTGCGGGCGAGGAACGGGTTAACAGCCGCTCTGGCTATCGCACAGCTGATGGCTCCAGTCCTCCAACCGGATGTGCTACATAAATGCAATATACACATTATACAGAGCAATGTCTGCCTGTCCTAATACCTGATATACTACACTCATAGTGTACATTAGAAAAGATACAATATATATACACATTATACAGAGCAATGTCTGCCAGCCCTGCTCCTAATACCTGATATACTACACTCATCGTGTACATTAGAAAAGCTACAATATACACATTATACAGAGCAATGTCTGCCAGTCCTGCTCCTAATACCTGATATACTAAACTTATTGTGTACATTAGAAAAGATACAATATACACATTATACAGTGCAATGTCTGACAGTCCTGCTCCTAATACCTGATATACTACACTCATAGTGTACATGAGAAAATATACTATATATGCATTATCAATAGATTAACTAAATTACTATGTGGTTTGTATACAGCTGTTAATCTAATAGTTTGAGTGGGCGCTCAAACTATAATGAGGTAACTGGACAATAAAACCCTTCTAGGGTTAACCCATTTTTTCATAATTATAGCAGTTTCAGAGAAACTGCTATAATTATGAATGGGTTAAGCCTTCCCCCTAATCCTCTAGTGGCTGTCTCATTGACAGCCACTAGAGGCGCTTGCGTGCTTCTCACTGTGAAAATCACAGTGAGAGCACGCCAGCGTCCATAGGAAAACATTGTAAATGCTTTCCTATGAGACCGGCTGAATGCGCGCGCAGCTCTTGCCGCGCGTGCGCATTCAGCCGGCGGGGCGTAACGGAGGCGGAGAGGAGGAGGAGAGCTCTCCGCCCAGCGCTGGAAAAAGGTAAGTTTTTACCCCTTTCCCCTTCCAGAGCCGGGCGGGAGGGGGACCCTGAGGGTGGGGGCACCCTCAGGGCACTATAGTGCCAGGAAAACGAGTATGTTTTCCTGGCACTATAGTGGTCCTTTAAGTATGTACAAACAGAAGAGTGGTAACTTGCTCACAGATTGGTAGTTGGGTAATGGAAGGTAACGCATCATTTTTAATTTAATAAAATAAAACCTGTGTCTGAAACATCAGGTACAAAGGTTAAAAAAAAGGGTTTGCAAAAAGGCAACCAGAAATAATTAGAGTAAGAAAAATATATACGATAACACTATACAATATAATTATAGCTTAGCTAAATGGACACTCCACTGCCCAAATTCAATATAAATTAAAATAACCGTTTAGTAGATATACCCCCAATGGAAATCTGCATGTATTTAATTATGCATTTTTTTTTTTATTATTTGGGATATATCTAAAGCACACAAAACATGTAATTCTCTTGTTTGCTGTCTTTGCAAGCCCTCCCCTTCTAACCCCACATAGACTTTCTGTGGGTGTCCAATCACAAACTTCCCATTGCAGCTCAATTAAAAGTCTTTGCAAGACAAGTGCTTTGTACAACAGTTGCCCCTTGAGTTTGGCTTTACTGAGCTAAATAAACCAAAAAGTAACAGGACCAGTTGTCTGAACTTTTTTTTAGAAATCTCAACTTTTTGCAAAATTAAAAAAATAGTACACACTTCACACATAAAGCTCAGGCACTGGGGGGGGAGCCAGCGCCTGAAAGAGCAAGTCGCACTTCATGACAGCTCCTAACGTGAGATCCAAAAGAAAGGACAAAACAGCTACGAAATTAGCCTCTGGGATCCGACAATCTGATCCACAGAGTGCCCTAAACTATGGGGAAAAAAACAAAGAAGGGCAGAACAGATCCTGGCTCGGGGTCAAAAGATATCGGCACTTTTATGCGGCCGTCTCAGCGGCAAGAACCCGGCAAGATGGCGCCGATGGAGGCCTATACTCCACAATCATCAGACGAAGATAGCGTCTCTGACTCTTTTCATGCCCCCAACAAGGTACACACCGCATTTCAGCAGCCTAAAGATCTAGGCGACGCAGCACCCGCCACAAAAGCTGATATAAAAGCACTAACACTGAACATCAAGGCGATGTTCGACACTGATATGGCGCTGGTCCATGGGGAAATCTCCACGCTTACAGGCCGCGTGGTCTCCATTGAGGAATCCCTCGGGAATACAAAGATGGCACAGGCGACTGCAGACACAGCTCTGGGACTCTTACAAAAGCAATATGCAATGCTGACAGCACAGGTGGCGGGAATGGAGGACAAAACTAAAGCTAGAAACCTACGGATCAGGGGAGTGCCCGAATCAGTCGTGAACCAGGAGCTGCCACACTACTGCAGGAGGCTACTAGCAACCTTATTGATCCCCAAGCAAGCAAAGCAAGTAGGGATTGACTCCTGCTTTCGCATCCCCAAAGCACCTAAAGCTCCGCAGGAGGCACCAAGGGATGTGCTGATTAAATTTGTCAGGGATTCTGATCGGCGGGCCCTCATGGGAGCTACGAGAGGCTCTCCCACGGTCACATTTGAGGGAGAAAGCCTGACTTTCTATAGAGACCTGTCACGGCATACACTTACCTGGCGCAGATCCCTCCGCCACATCACCTCGCAGCTGAGGGAACATGCTATCCCCTATAAATGGGGACCTCACCGCTTAACAACGGAACACGCTGGCAAGACGGTCCACCTGACACACAGATCCGAAGCATCCACGTTTCTCCAGTCCCTGGGACTCCCACTACCGGCCACAGCAACAGGATCCAGTCCAGCATGGAACGTCGACGAAATAACCCCATTTGTACCCAGAGAAGCAACGATGAGAGCAACAGACTCACCAACACAAGACAAGCGATCGTAAACGCAAGTGCACCTTCAACCTGTCACAGGTGCCCTGATACGGGACTATACATGGGATAATGCATGTAAACCCCACTTGCCGGGACTTCACTCTCATTTTATAGGCAATGTGGATTATTAAGTTTAGTTGTTGTTTTTACACATTTCCAGTTCTCAGTTCCTAAATGTCTCAGGGTGCCAGACACACTATTGATACTGGCTCTGCAAGCAGATAACCAGCGATGTTGGCTAAGCAGATCTACCCCCCTACCCCCTCAAGCCCGTGCAAGGTACCCATAGGCTCCCGACTAAAGGAGCAACGATATATCACACATCCAGCCTGATAGATACGCTGGGGCCAGCACCAGACCATTGACAGGCCAATGGCCGACAAACCCGCACTCCCCACACCTCCCACACACGCGCCTAGGCTAGGTCCACAGCCCCAATGCCTCTGAGCAGGGCGCATAAAGCTATTTACCGTCCCCCTCCAAGGTACTACATGTTTCCAATGTTTCCTCTGCTTCCAACACGAGGGAGTAAAGCAGAGATTACCCTATAAAAACCGGGTGACATAGCACCTGTGCAATATGGTATATGTTATATGCTGATTATTTGGAATGTATTTAATACATGTTATCCTTTATGCACATGTTGTAAAATGCATTTAATACTTGCATACCCACAAAAATAAAGAATTCAAAAAAAAAAAAAGCTCAGACACTGAGTGTAGTGGTGTTATGGAAACAGGCTCCGGCACTGAGTTTGTGCAACCACCATACTCTATGTCAAAGTTGTTAAAGACTGCAGCCAATGACAAAAAGGATAAGGTGAGGCCTGATAGACAGCAGTTGTTGGGGGATTCTATAATAAGAGGTGTGGAGCTGGACAATAGTAGCATTGTGAGATGTCTTCCTGGAGCTACTGCTCAAAGAGACAGGAGACGTATTTGTAATATTGTTAAGCGAGCAAAGTAGGAAGAGGAATTGGATGTACTTGTCCATCTAGGGACAAATGACTTGGCTTGCAATGAGGTTTCAGAAGTAAAGGAAGTTTTTTGTGTTTTTGCCAATGATATACAGCAGGTTGCTTCCACACTGTCATTCTCTGAAGTTCTGCCTGTGCATAATACGCAGAATGACAGGCGGATGCGTATTAGGGACTTTAATTTGTGGCTTGGTGAATGGTGTCGGGAGCAAGGATTTGGGTAAATTTTTTATGGTAGCTCTGTTTGGAATGGAAATAAGCTGTACGAAAAAAAATGGTTTGCATCTTTCTCAAAAGGGAACAAATGTTCAGAGGTTTTGCTAGGAAGTATTTAAACTGGGGGGGGGGGCAAAAAGGAGATACAATTGTCCCCCAAAACAAGGACAGGAAGTGTTAAAAAGTGATAAGCTTAGAGTTATGTCTACAAATTCTCACAGTTTAGGAAACAAGATCCATGAACTTGTGGCACTAATGGCAACTGATAATGTAGCTTTAGTCGCTGTTACTGAGACATGGTATAATGAGAAAAATAACTGGGACATAGCAGTACCAGGGTACTCTTTATATAGAAAGGACAGGGAAGGCAAGAAAGGGGGAGGGGTGGCCCTGTATGTGAAGGATCGCATAAAATCTGGCCTAATAAGTTAGTGAGGCGAACATAGTCCGTTTGGGCTACGTTAGAATTTGGTAATCACACAGTAACTCGTGTAGGTGTGATTTATAGGCCCCCAGGACGAATAGAAGAGTTAGATAATCTGCTAGTTTAACAAAATAGGTAAAATGACAATGGAGGGGGACGTTATCATCATGGGTGACTTTAATCTTCATGATGTGAACTGGAAAACCAAAATAGCTGCTTGTGCCAGGAGCACACATATTCTAAACTCCCTACTGGGATTGTCTCTAAAACAAGTCATTGAGGAGCCCACTCGTAAAGAGGCCTTACTAGATTTATTGTTAACAAATGGAGATTTGGTATCAAATATTACTGTAGGTGAAAGTTTAGGATCCTGTGATCATCAGTCAGTGTGGTTTAATATAAGAACAGTAACTTAAAGGGACACTATAGTCACCAGAACAACTACAGCTTATTGAATTTGTTCTGGTGAGTAGAATCATTACCTCCAGGCTTTTTTCCTGTAAACACTGTCTTTTCAGAGAAAATGCAGTGTTTACATTACAGCATAGTGATAATTTCACTGGCCACTCCTCAGATGGCTGTTAGAGATCTTTCCAGGGTCATGGTTGCCTAAAATCCATCCAAACATTCAGTATCTCCACCTTCTGCAGGCAGACACTGAACTTTCCTCATAGAGATTCATTGAATCAATTCATCTCTATGAGGAGATGCTGATTGGCCAGGGCTATGTTTGAATCATCCTGGCTCTGCCCCTGATCTGCCTCCTTGTCAGTTTAGCCAATCCTATGGGGTAGCACTGTGATTGGATCAGGCCACGACTTCTGATGATGTCAGCAGACAGCTTGTTTTTCTGAGTCTAACAGCATGCAGCGTTACAGCTTCTGGCATGAATACAGTAAGATTTTTACTATATTTATGGAGTTATGAGGGGCTCAGGGGGGCTAGATGGTGGTTTTAACACTATAGGGTCAGGAATACATGTTTGTGTTCCTGACCCTATAGTGATCCTTTAAAGGTAGGCAGACAATGTAATAGAGCAGCAGCAAATGCTAGAATGCTTGGTAGCAAAATGCAGAATGCTTGGTTGTATAGGGAGAGGTATTAGCAGTAGAAAGAGGGAAGTCTCCAGAAGGATATTTATACTTTCAAGAGAGTTCAGATAAGGGCTACTAAACTGGTTCATGGATTACAGGATAAAACTTACAAGGAGAGGTTCAAGGATCTTAACACGTATAGCTTGGAGGAAAGACGAGACGGGGGGGGATATAATAGAAACATTTAAATACTTAAAGGGAATCAACACTGTAAAGGAGGAGACTATATTTAAAAGAAGAAAAACTACCACAACAAGAGGACATAGTCTTAAATTAGAGGGGCAAAGGTTTAAAAATAAGGAAATAAATCAGGAAGTTTTACTTTACTGAGAGGGTAATGGATGCATGGAATAGCCTTCCAGCTGAAGTGGTAGAGGTTAACACAGTGAAGTAGTTTAAGCATGCGTGGGATAGGCATAAGGCTATCCTTGCTATAAGATAAGGCAAGGGACTAATAAGGTATTTAGAAAATTGGGCCGACTAGATGGGCCGAATGGTTTTTTTTTTTCTGCCGTCACATTCTATGTTTGTAAATGTAGCAATTAATTTTTAGTTTACATCAAGTCACTCTTTAGAGAATAATAATTTAGTTTATGAGCTCTACTATATATATACAAAATATATCTGCCTCAATGGTTGAGTCCAATGGGAGAATGGGAAGGTAAACATATCTACAATTCTCTCGGCATTGCTATATTCCTCTTTGGCTTAATCTTCAGATTCATATGACTTATCTACCTGGAGTTCAAGTTACTCATGTATTCACGTATGTATGAGAGTACGAAACTGTGATTCCTGATGGAATAATGGTATTGAAGTTCCGGAAAGACCATGGTATCCTCCATAATAAATAAACAATGAAATTCCATGGACTGATTTCCTATCCACTGATTTCCTTGGTAGTTGGGAAATGGCAAGATATCAAGGAACAAACAGCTTGAAGCTCCACCCTTTGCCACATTTTGCCATTAATTGACATTTACATTAGACAAAATAGTCTGTACTTTGTCTCCCATATTATGATTGAAATTAAATTCAACCTATATGGAAAAACGTAAAAGGGACTACTTGAATTAGTAATGTTCCTGCAAGATTTATCTTTCAGGGCAACAATGGTGTAGTCTTCCAAGATAATGTTTTTCATGAGAATATATAGAAAAAGGAGAGATATGATGACCCTAGTTTTAAAGAAGATCTGCCCGGTCTCCAAAAGTTACGGTTCATTATTCCTTTATCCCTTTCAAATGTTTAACAGTAGAGGTAATATTAAAAGTGACTTGTGAGGGTGACATCATTCAGTGTGCACACCGTCATTAATTCCACATTACTTGCAATATTTCCCACCACTTATGCTATAACACTTAACTGGTGTGTGGGAATAAGTTGCAGTTTCCCTAGGAGGCTTTCCCAGCAAGTTTCCTTACACACTATAATATAAAAACTGATATGGGATACAACTGTAGGGTAAAAATATACAATATAGTGTAATACACAATTCGGTGCTGATAAATATTGCATTCGCAAGAGGTAGACATAAAGCAATGATGGGTACATCCACTGATTTATGGGGGGAGGACTAGTGCAAATAGTACATTTGTAACTCCTTGTTCTGCCTCAAAGAAGGCTCTCCTTAATTCTGAGCGCTTCCCTCCTGTCAGCCCGGACAAAGCTGCAGCCGTCTGAGGCTCTCTACAGAGCGCTCGGGCGGATGCAGCCTAGTCCGCCTAACCGGTAGCGCCGGTCCTGCATGGTATATATATATTTTTTTCCTTTAGATTACAGCTGTATCCCCTATCAGCTTCCACGGTGCTGTATGAACAGGGCCGGCGCTACCGGTCTGTAGAGAGCCTCAGACGGCAGCAACTTTGCCCGGGCTGGTGCGTCCATGAGGGAACACCGCACCGCCCGGGCGCAGCATGAGGAGAGGGGCTGACAGGAGGGAAGCGCTCAGCGCTCCCTCCTGTCACTCCCTCACTGTAGCGTGGCCGAGCTCTCTAAGGTCCGCAGGTACAGGGAGCATCTGTCTCCTGTCCCCGGCTGGACTAACAAGAAATGCACACTCAGTGTGCACTTCCTGTTAGTCCGGCCGGGTACAGGAAGCAAAAGCTCCCTGAACCCGCGGACCTTAGAGAGCTTGGCCACGCTACAACAGTGGTGGGGGGAGAAAGAGAGGACAAGGAGAGGGGGGAGAAAGAGAGTGACAAGGAGAGGGGGAGAAAGAGAGTGACAAGGAGGGGAGAAAGAGAGTGACAAAGGGGAGAAAGAGAGGACAGGGAGGGGAGAAAGAGAGTGACAAGGAGGGGGAGAAAGAGAGTGACAAGGAGGGGGAGAAAGAGAGGACAGGAGGAGAAGAGAGGACAAGGAGGGGAGAAAGAGAGTGACAGGGGGGGAGAAAGAGAGGACCAGGGG